ACATAAATACTAACCTTAATTGTTGTGATAAATTTCGAAAGATATTGTTAACAATGCAATTTCGCTACGATAAACTTTGAAGGATATTGTTAACAGTGTAAAATCGATTAAAATTGTTGCGATAAACTTCTGAAGGATATCGTTAACAGTGCAATGTCAATTAAAATTGCCACGATAAACTTCGAAGGATATCGTTGACAGTGCAATATCTATTAAAATTGCTGCGATAAACTTCGAAAGACATTGTTAACAATACAATGTCAATTAAAATTGCTGCGATAAATTTCGAAGGATATCGTTGACAATGTAATGTCAATTAAAATTGCTGTGATAAACTTCGAAGGATATCATTGACAGTGCAATATCAATTAAAAATCACAGTGATATAAATACAAGTGATGACCATCGAAATGATATATTATGAATGTCTAATATAAACGAAAGTTATTGATATGAAATTACTACGAAAAAAATAATATTTGCAAAATTTCGCACATGAAAATATCAAAATTGATAACCTTTGAAGGTTAGTGAAGATCTTCATAAGATAACATATCGAAAAACAGCAAAATACTTATGTTAATGTTAACTTTTGAAAGTTTTCACTAGAAAAAATTTCCTGAGGCATATAGGGAATGTGACTACTTTCTAAATTCAGAAAATGAAAAAACTAAAAAACAAGAAGCCACCAAAACCACATGATTGATATCAAACCAAATGAAATACAAACATATCATTTAGACCTAAGACAACACGAACTGAAAAAGAGTGAAAAAGAAAAAATAAACAATAAAGAAAAAACAAACAATAAAGAAAAAATATCAAAAATGATATAATCTCCACAGTCCATATTAAATTTTTATGATCAATTCAAAAAAGTGAAGTATATAGTAGATCAAAAAAACAAAGAAAAAAATAAAGACACTAACACAGAAATAATAAAATATTCAGAAAATAAAATACAAGAAATAAAAAATATAAAACAAAAAATGACAAGCTGTACCAACAATAAAATAGAAGCATTTACAAATGGGTCATGTATAAAAAAAAAAATTCCAGGAAATTTAATAGGACAATATAAAAAATCAACAGTAATGGGATACAGTATAGTAATAGAAACAAAAGAACAAAACAAAAAAGAAATCCTAATATTCAAAGGCATAACATAAGGATCACCATTATTAACCAGAGCTAAACTAATGGTGATAGCAGTTTTACTAGATATATTTTCAAAAAATAAAATAATAAAAATAAATATAGACTCAAATGTCACAATAGCTATAATAAATAGATACATAGATTTAAGAAAAAGAAAAAAAAGAAAATTGTATAAAAACCCATATATTTTACAAATAATAAAAGAACTAATAGTTAAAAATAAAATAAAAATAGAACTAATAAAAATTAAAGCTTACTCAAGAATAAAATTAAATGAAAAAGCAGACCAATTAGTAAAAGAAGGAAGAAATGAAACTGAAAAAATAAAAATAAATCCAGAACAATTAAATGTAATAAAATACTTTAATACAGTAAACTAAGAAGTCCTGAATATGCCGATACAAGAATACATGAAAAAAATGATAGCAATAAACCACTTAGTAGACTGGAAAATACTGTACAGAACAACTACAACGTTATCAAAAACAATAATAATAGCAACAGACTAGAAACAAACAAAAGAAACACTAATACACTTAAGAATTACAGATAGTGAAACTTCACAAGAAAATCAAAAGTATAGAACATTTAAAATAAAACTCTTAATAGAAAGATTACCTACAAAAAAATTAATGTATAAAAGATACCTTCAACTGTATCAAAATTCAAAATGTATTAAATATAACAATTACAAAGAAACATCAATACACACCCTAACATGTTCAAATGGAATTAAAGAACTTCAAGGAGAATTCTTTACAATAATAAAAAAAAAAATACAAAAAGTATACAACTACTCAAAATCACATGAATTAATTGAAAAAGAATTTAAAAACTATAGTGACTACCAAATAGACTATAATAGAGTAAACACAGTAAAAACAAATAAGTACTCAATCTTTTTTTTTATAGATATAATAAGAAATATAATATCAAAATCTCTTAAAAAAAATTAAAAAAAATTATAAAAAAAAACAAAAGAAATAGAAAAAATAATAAAAAATATAATTTAAGAATTTACAAAAAAATACATAAAAAATGGTTAGAATGATGTGAAGTAGTAAATAAGTAGGAAGAAAATAATAATATAACAACTGAAATAAAACGTGACACAACAGTACAGTACATAAGAAATAAGGAAAATTATGAAAAAATTAAAAAAAATTAGAAATATGCAAACTTAAAGTAATAGAAGCAGTATTAGACAACTTATTAAATGTAACAAACACTTTTTTTTCATATATTTTATCTTCTTTATTTTTAAGCTTAGATATTAATAGGACTGTGGTGGTGGAAACCTATTAATTTTAAAAGTAAACCTTAGTTTATTTTCAATGGCAGTAGGTTAATTGGTAGACCTAATCTTAGATAGTTTTATTTCTTCATTTGTAATTTTATATACAATTTAAATGAAATAAAGCAAAACTACGTCGGTCACTCAAATCAAATCAAATCAAATTGACGTTGTTACATATAAAACATTATTTTATATCAATAAAATAATAAAAGTGATACTAAGTAACCTTAAAGGCAATACTATTTTGTATCTACTGTAAAAGTAATAAACCCATATAATAAGAATTAAAGAAAAGATTAACATTTATTTATTAAAGTTTAATTGTTAATTATTTTTTTATTTTACATGATATAGGCTTGAAATTTTTATAGTAAATGTACAATAATATTCTCTTCAAGATTACTTAGTATTATTTTTAAGATTTTATTGGTATAAAATAATGTTTTATATGTAACGACGATTGATAATTTTCTTTAAACAGTAAATAATCAACAATAATTTTGATCATTTTTTAGTTGTATTTAAGTAAAGTTCTAATTTTAACTAGAAAATATAAAATATGATACTAATAAAAGTTGTATATTTAGTTTATAATTACAACTTTTTATAAGATAATAGGTACTTTCAGTAAATAGTTACTGAAATCAAAAGAGATTTCAGTTAATAATTTAATTTAATATTTTTGGTAACTTTTATTTAAAACAAGATTTTAAAATGAGCAGATATTCAATTTGAATAAATAAGATATCATACGATAGCCCTTAATTCAGGGATTCTTTTAAAAAAAAGTTTGTGCAATTTAAATTATTCATTGTGCCAGAATTCACCTTTGAAATTTTTAAAAAATCTGATAAAAAATAGCTGTCCAAATACTTTTGGTAGGCTGGTGTACTATACATTTTAGTTTTTGATAATTTTCATTATTACTAGAATAACATTATTACTATTTATTTATTAATAAATAAAGTCAAAAATTTAGAAAATAATTATAAATTACACGAATATTTTATAATAAAAAAAAATTACGAACATTATAAATTATCTCTAATACTATATTTAAGAAATCGTATAGTTTTATCTACTGTAAATTCTTTTCACTTAATTAATCATTTTTATTAACTTTATTAATTGCAATATTAACAAGTCATGATTCTTAATTTTTGATAAACGAATATTGATAAACCACCTAAAAAAAATTTGAACTCATTAATTAAAAATGCTCAAAATTAAAGTTCAATATATTTATAAACCAATTAAGGACCTTGGATGTACAATTGCTAGTCACGGGTATAAATCCTCTTTCACTTTTTTCCCCCTTAATCAGTTATGCGAATTTATAAAACGTTGACTGAATTTTTTGTAGAAACTCCTCTAAAAAATAATGGAATCAAACTGGAAAAATGTTGAATTTTTACTTATTTTTGATTGGCTTTATTTTTATTTTAACAAAAATATTATTTTAGATTGAAAAAAGGGATCACGAATTTACTTCCCCAGATTTATAAAATATAAAATTAATATAAAAAATGCTACCGTCAAATTTTATGTTGACTAAATAAAATTGAAAGCATCATTTGTAAAAGCCCGTTTGAAGATTAGAATTTGTATTTTTTTAAGAGATTATTATCTTTAATAGGTATAATCATTGTATAATGCTTTGTAAGAAATTTTAAACATATTCTATAATTTTTCATTTAACTAATTATACTAATACATTTAATTGATTGTATATTGTGTTTTCAGATATATAGAAGCCAGGTTATAAATCATATTTGGAAGGGATTTTTTTTTTTGATGTAATCGTAGCCATAATGAAGACATAAATAATTTTATTTTTAGGTTGACTTTCTAAAAAGGTTTTTATATTTATGTGTATTTACCTCTAATCAGAGGTGAAGTTGAAAATGCTGATCGAAAAGAACAACTGGACTTATTAAGAAATTTGAATCAACGTCAATCAAATCTTGGAACTTGGCTTCATAATGCTGTCATAATCATGAAGATTGGAAGCAAGTTGGTTCAAGTAGCATTTGGGGAGGTAATTGGAAATGCTTTCAAATGTAATAACAGAGAAAAAATTCTAAAAGGTAAAATAATAATCTCATTATAACTTTGATTATTTTGTAAAATCACTAATATAATTGTTTTTATCTTTAACTATGCAATTGGCTCTTTTTAACCTTTGAAAATCATTACCCGAAAAGGCTCCAGGTCTTGAAGATTTGGAAACTTTTAAATTACTCGTAAATAGTATGTAATGATCTGGCTTATTAATTTTTTTTAATATAATCTTTACTAATCTCAAATATACTTTAATAATTTAAGAAAAGAATTTTTTATGTATTTGATACATTGGGTGAATGGGATATATCTCGTTGATCAATTTAATGGATTTATGATTCCCGATACATCACTGGACCTAGGAAATCTATCGGATATCATTCAAATAATGATCGAATTTAAGGTGAAAAATCTTACCTTTTAAAGTAATTTTAACGCATGTTTTATTATATTAATTAGAACCGTATCATGAAATTACATGCCCATATGGAATCTTTGTATAAATCGAACAAAAAATTTAAACGTGGTGGATCCCAACATACAAATGATTCTGTTGTCTATGCATCGCCATTAAAGGCTACTGAGAATGGTTCACGTAATAAAAAAAAAATGTAATATAAATTGACAGGTTAATTTTACTTTTTTTTATGTACAGTTATAACTTATTTTTGTTCTATTCAGAATATCAATAACAAATGAAACTGGATTATAGTTAATATTGGGACAATGTATTATTATAAATAGTTTAGGAAAACGAAAACTTATAGTGTAGGAAATAGTATAAAAACAATAGGCAGATTTGATTCTTTTTTATTTTTATTACAATTAATAAAAGTGAAGGCACGTCTGGGAAAGCCTTTTAGCTTTTAGAATATTATTACTCATTTTTCTACATACGCATGATGTATTTCTTTGTGCATTTATTAATAAAGTTAATGTTATTTATAATAAATAAAATTTTTACTAATAAATTATAAAATATTCGTATAATTATTTATGTTTATTTATAATTAATTATTTATTTTTAATTATTTATTTATACATTAATGACTCTAGAAAGTTTTTGAATACGATTTAGTAAAATATCTCCTTGTTTGATTGTCTGTTGATATTGGGCGTTCTTTGCATCAGGTCGATTTGTCTCCACAATTCCATTCACTTTGTCAATAACACAATTAAGGCGTCCTGCCGCAATAAATTTTGATAAATCACTATAAACAAAAAAAAAAAAAATTAAAAAATTAGATAAATATATATATACATCAAATTTCTGAATATAAAAAGAGTAAAGTAAAGTAAGCAGAGTAGAACAAAGCAAACTAAAAGATATTTACTTGTCAATAAATTCTTCAGATACACCAAATGCATTCGCCATGCTTTCCATGGTAAGCGAACGATAAGATTCCAAAAGTTGTGCATACGCAATTATTCGCATTTCACGAACATAATATCTTAAATGGGAGAACAAATATCTTGATGTACGAAGATGATTTCGTTCTACGTCAGCTATTATTAATTAAATACTTTTTTTTAGATCAATAAATATTATTGTTATAAATATTATAAAAAATTATTATAATAAATATTATAAATTACCAAGAGATTCAAAAAATTTCGAATATGCACAATTATAAAGCGAATTAATAAATTCTCCTAAATGTGGTATTTCGTGTAATACTTCCAAGACTTCTGGTGCATCGATCACCTAAAATATTGTAAATATTTTAAATAATAGTAGTAATAAATTTCAATTTCTTCATTTTTAAGAATTAATAATAATAATAATAATAATAATAATAATAATAATAATAACATCATTAAATGAAGTAAACCTTCTTTTTTAAATCCACTCTATTAAGAGATATTGCACCAGCTAAAACTGCATATTTCACGAAATCTTTGTAATCCATTAATTCTGTTGACATGAATGTTGACAATGTATCAAGAAATAAATTAGCCGCGGTTTTAAAATCACGTATCGATAATCTATAAATTCCTTCATAGACTTTAAGTCGATTGCGTCGATCCCAGTCCCCTCCTTCCTCGATCAAGCTATATTTAAAAATAAAAAAAAATTGTAATAAAATATTATAAAACATTTCAAATATTCAAATAAATAAATAAATACAATAATAATAAATTTACCTTTTCGCACGTTCTATCTTACGACTAATGATATCATTATCGTTAAAGAAAAAGCCAATTCGTACAAATGAAAAGATTATATCAATTCGAGAACCTAATCCTGCTGTTTTTTCTAATGCTACATTATATGCAGCAAGTGCTTTTTCCTTTTAACAAAATAAGAAAATACTAATGTCTCAATAATGTTTTCAATAATGTTTTCACTAATGTTCACAATAATGTCTCAATAATGAATCAGTAATGACTGAATGTTGTAACTATTTATAAACCATCAGATAAACCAAACAATATGAATTACCTTATCCCCGATTTTGGAAAAATACTCGGCTTTAGCTAATAATGCATCACTGATTTCCGTTTCACCCAAGTTTTTCTCTGCATCTTGAAGTTTTTCGTCTAATTCCTGTAACTCTTTTTTATTAACTTCTTGATATTTAGCCAATAGTGCTTTATCAAGAGGAATCTTGGCTTCATCAGTAATTAATTGATAGAAAGGAGCCATATCTGCATTCAATTTGATTGATGTGTAAATTTTATTGTTTAATTTTAAAGAAAGTTGAAGAATATAAAAAGAAGGTCTTACTATTTTCCTCAATTGCACTTAATATTTTAATCTTCGCTTCTTCATAATATTCTGGAGTTTTTGGATTATTTAAAATAAAACGGTAATGTGCAAGTTCGAGATTAGGTAACTTTGGAATAGATGTATCCACCATTTTTTGACAATTACAATTAATACAATTAATATTAAAACTATAGATTTGAACGAGAAATTTGTTTTTATTGGTCGATAAAATCATGTATACATATATTTCATTTTTCGTGTATATATATTTTATATATATTTATATTTTATACACATATATTTTCATATATAATTTACGTAACAATTTTATTTTGTACACAGCATGGATCTCTTAGCTACAGAGTATGGATCATCGACTGATGAAGAATCAGTTTCCCCAAAGCGTTTTGAAGATGGATTGCCAACTGCGAAACGTCTTAAAGTAGATCTCGCACCAGAAGTTAGTTTAGAGGTAAATAATTAAAATAATTAAAAATAATTCGATGGTTTAACAAGACGATACAGTTAGAGTTAAGAGAGTTTTACGATATTAAAAAAACTGGTCGTCTTATTTATTATTTCATAAAATCAAAGGAAGCAACAAATTGATGTGATATAGTTGAATTCCTACCCTCTAGGATCCAAAACTTTCGACCTCGATTTATACAAAACCTGGCGATACACAAATTCACATAAATATTCCATATGATGATTTGAATCGACAAGCAGCAGGACCTATTAATCCATTTGATACCAGAACTATTAAAAAAAATGTTATCACGGGTCACGTAGAAGAACAAGTTTTTTCAGAACAAGATTTTAAAACACAACAACGTACATTTGCATCATTTGGATATGCGGCGGATCCGTCATTATTAACTAAAGCTAGTGGAATACCAGGAATTGGATATGTGGGAAATATAGAGAAAGCTATAGAAATGAATGGAGCAACAATTTATGATTCAACACCTAAACCAACAAATATGCCTCCAAGAAAATCTAAAGGAGATTCAGGTATATTAGAAGGAGAAAATGCATATCAAGGACCTTGGGCAGGATATGAAGGCGAAAGCATTGGAATTGCTGTTGGACCTCCCGAGGTAATTTATTTAATAATTACAATATTCTTTAATTAAATTAATTAATTTATTTGATTATAATATATTTTATTAATTATAATTTATTTTATTCATGTTTAGGATATGATTCGTAAAAAATCTGATGCGGAAGCTACATCTAAAAAACAAATTGATGCTGGACAAGAAAAGACAATATTTCATGGTACCTAACAAATATATAAAAATAATTTAAAAATAATATATAATATAATAAATTATTAAAATATTAATATTATTAAATATATAAATAATAATAATAATAATAATAATAAATATATAGGGAAATCTGAATATGATTATCAAGGTAGAACATATATGCATGTACCAATGGATCTAGATGTAAATTTATTGGGAGAACCTGGAACACAAGAATGTTTCATTCCTAAACGTTGCATACATACTTGGTAAATGGATTATTTATTATTTGATATCGTTATTATTATTATTATAAATAACAATTAACGAAACGTTTATTTTCTCAGGGCTGGTCATACTAAAGGTGTATCCGCAATAAGATTTTTCCCTCAGTCAGCACATTTATTGTTATCTGCTAGTATGGATTCTAAAGTTAAGGTAAAGTATAAAATAAAGGTGACAACACTTAAATAAAAAATAACATTAACAAGACTTTCTTGAAATAAAGATTTGGGATGTTTATCATGATCGAAGATGTTTAAGAACTTATATGGGACATAATAAAGCCGTGAGGGATATAACATTTAATAATGATGGAAGACGATTTTTGACTGCTAGTTATGATAAATATATCAAATTGTGGGATACTGAAACTGGTCAATGCATTAATTCATTTACTACTGGAAAAATTGCTTACGTAGTCAAATTTAATCCTGACGAAGATAAACAAAATATATTTTTGGCTGGTTGTTCTGATAAAAAAATTGTACAGGTAATTACTGAAATTATTATTATTATTATTTATTATTATTATTGAATTTTTTATTGAAATTATTATTATTATTAAAATTATTATTGGAATTATTATTGAAATTGTGGAATCAATGAATTTCAGTTTGACATAAATACTGGCGAGGTAACTCAAGAATATGATCAACATCTGGGAGCAGTAAATACTATCACATTTGTAGATGAGAATAGAAGATTTGTTACAACTTCTGATGATAAAACACTTAGAGCATGGGAATTTGATATACCTGTAGTAATTAAATATATTGCAGAACCACACATGCACAGTATGCCTTCTGTTACATTGCATCCAAACAGTATATATCATTTAATTAATTTAATTAATTTATTATTTAATTTATTATTTTAATTTATTATTTTTTAATTCATATTCTTTATTTTTTAATTTTAGAAAAATGGTTAGCTTGTCAATCATTGGATAACCAAGTTGTAGTTTACGGAGCTAAAGATAGATTTCGTATTCACCGTAAGAAACGATTTACTGGACATTTAGTTGCTGGATATGCTTGTCAAGTTAATTTTTCTCCTGATGGTAGATTTATAATGTCAGGAGATTCTGAAGGGAATATGTTGTTTTGGGATTGGAAGTCTTGTAGAATGCTAAAGTAAGTATTCGAATTTTTTTTTTTTTTGTTATTTTTTTTTTTTGTTATTTTTTTTTTTTCAATTGAATAAATTTAATTTTAATTTATAGAAAATTCAAAGCACATGATAATGTTGTGATCGGATGTGAATGGCATCCTCATGAAACTTCAAAGGTTGCTACTTGTAGTTGGGATGGATTAATTAAATTATGGGTTAGTATCATTTTTATTGATATCTTTTTATATTTATTATATTTACTTATATTTATTTACATTTACTTATATTTACTTATATAGGATTAATTAAGTAAATTTTACAAGATTGTAGAAATTGTAACAAGCGAAATGAAATTTTTATTAATTATTACTTTTTATCTATAGAAAACACTTGAGTCTGTACATTTGTTTCTGTATTCACTTTATTGTTCATCATATTATTCAATTTTATTTTTCATAAATATTTATAGATAATATGAAATTTGAATGATTTAATTTGTACAAAATGATAATGATAAAAAATAATATGCCAAAGGAATCTTCCAATTAATTCATTTGTGATACAATGTCTACACCTTTTACACTTTGGTATCTTGTTTAAGTAGTTCTGCTTATTATTTTATCAAATATTATTATTTTACAAATATTTTATTTTATTTCTTTTATTTCATTTATTTTTTCTCTTTATTCTTCATTTATTTAATAATATTCATTATACAGTGAACCCTCTATAAATGCACTCCTGGGGAATCAGCATTAGGGTGCATTTATAGAGGAAATGTTTTTGAGCAACTAATTAAAACTGTTCAGAAGATATGAAAGTAATTGAATATTTGTTTTTGTTAAGCTGGCTTACAAATGAATTGAAATGTATATTCACAAATTTTTTACACTTCCAGAACTTTGAGTTGTAATTTTAATACATTGGTTAAAGTAAACTGCCTTTGAGTAACTAATTAAAATTTAGTTTAGTTTGTAAATTTAAGAAAATATTATCTGTCTGCAAATTTATAATATAATTAAAATAATGTTATAAATAATGTAAATAATAAATATTAATAATAAAAAAAATTTTAACAAATTGAATGAAATTTTTACTTTAAAAATAAATAAAAATATTTAATGACAGTTGAAATATATAAAAGTTTTTTTTACTAAGGAAACATTGAAAACAGTCTTAATGAATCTTAAAGCAAAAAACAAATTGTCACCTATGATAAAAGTCTAAGATTGATTCCTTAAGAACTGAGCAATTACAAATGTTTTAACTTTAAAATTTTAAAATCTTAAAAAAAATATTTTTGAAAATTAAAGCAGTTCTTAAGAAATTGATCTGAGACTTTTATCATAGGTGCAATTTGTTTTTGGCCTTAAGATTCATTAAGACTATTTTCAACATTTTTCTAATAAAAAAAACTTTGACACATTACAATGGTCATCAATTATTTTCATTTTTTTAAAAAAAAATTTAACTTTAAGAATAGTTTAACTTTTTTTAAAAAAACAAAAATAAATAATGACTGTTATAGTGTATAAAAAGAATTTTTATTAGGAAAACATTGAAAATAGTCTTAATGAATCTTAAAACTAAAAACAAAATGCATCTATAATAAAAGTTTCAGATCGATTCTTTAAGAACTAAGCATTTTAATTTTCAAAAACAATTTTTAAAATTTTAAAGTTAAAATATTCGTAATCATTCAATTCTTAAGGAATTAACTTGAATCTTTCATCATACATCAGAAAATTTTTAAAGACAAATATATATGGATTTATTTGTAATTAGTAAAAACAAATTATATTCAAATATATTTGGTGTAAATATAAATCAATTTAAGTTAATGTAGATTATTGTAAATTAATATGATTTATGCAGATAAATATGTGAGTAGTTAAATATATCTGAATATATTTGCCTCCAAAAATTTCCTGATGTTGGTGCATTTTGTTTTTGACTTTAAAATTCATTAAGACTATTTTTTAATATTTTCTGATAAATTTTTTCATATATTACAATGGTCACTAATTATTTTTATTTTTTAAAAATTTCAAATTTAAAGAATTTGTAATGTAAATTGAAAATAATTTATAAATTAGATGAATAATTTACAAATTAAAAAATGATCTGTGAATTAAACAGATAATTTGCAAATTAATCTATAACAGATAACAGATTAAAATTTACATTGATTGAAAACTTAAAAATCCTATACACATCAGGTATCTGATATAAATAAAATATATTTTTTACACTTATCGGATATCTAATATATGTCTGATATTGGAAATGAATATTACACTTATCTAGTATCTGATATGTAGGGTTGTTAACTAAAGTATAATGTTCTGGCATCAACCTGATTCCATCATAGAGTGAATTAAGATATCTAGTTTTTTGTACTAACCCAGAAAAAAAGATTTTATTATAACTCAGGTTATTATATAATTTTGTTCCAGGTTGTTCCAAGTTACTTTAGTAATTTGATTGATTAATCAATAATAAAAATAACAAAATTATTGATCATTAATATATATATATAACTTTTTATTTTAGTAAGTAAATATTAAAAGTAGTACTAAGTTGTAACGAGTTGTCTTAACTCGTTTGTAATTACAATAAAAGAAAAGCAAATTGAAACAATTCAGTTAAACAGAGTATTTAATAAATAAATAAATAATTATTTGAGCAGAATGAAATCTACCCTTTTCTTTATTATTCTTA